TCGACTAATAAGGGTCGACCGTGCAAAAGAGTGTAGTTGGAACCCCCGCTAAGTGAATGAGAAAGATAAAAAAAAGAAGTAAAGTGAAAGTGAAAAAGGGGTTCCAACGGTGAAATGAAGTGAAAGAGCACCCCGGTACAACGAGTCCTTGGTTGTGAATGGTGTGAGTTCCTTTATCCATGAACTGACTGTCTTACTTCCACTGCTTCTCATGATCCTGGCTTGAGTCTAGTACTCGCATTGAGAGAGATAGGGAACGTCTTAGAAGACCAGTTGACCTCGTAAGCTGCTAAATGATCTAGAAAATCCTCTACCTACGATCGGGGTTGTTTGTTGCTATAGAGGTCTGGAGAGTTGCATTGGTTTGAGTTAGGTTTGCTTGGGGACAAGCAAACGGTTAAGTGTGGGGGAATTTGATGACTCGATATTTGCACATGTTTTCCCCTTTGTTTCTTGATCTTTTAAGCTTGAATTATCGCTTCTTTGGCCTATTTTACGCTAGGTTGTGTTTCTTTGTCACATTTCAGGCCCTAGCACATAAAGTGAAGCATAGGCGCAAGTTTCAAGTCAATCAGAGATCAATTGACGATTCGGGAGAAGAAACTCGGGCATGACCTGAGGAATAATGGATTTCTACCTCATATTATGGACAAATTATCATGGAAGTTTGTTATGAAAAGAAATAGGACGAGACTACGAGCGTCTGGGTTCAAATGACGACTGATTTGGAGTCCGGACGAGGGAGAAACGTAGCTTTGAACAGGAGCGGAGGAAGAATTACGGGCAGGAGAATTACGACCGTAATTTGGCCTCCCATGCCCGTAATTTCACTGCCGAGAGGAGCTTTGGGTGCGCTGAAACTTAACCAAAACGCGTATTTTGGGCAAAATACGGGCATGGAAGAATTACGACCGTAATTCAGCCCGTAATTCGCCCAGAATCGGGTTTTTTTTAGGCAGATTCAAGCCATAGGAAAGGGAGAGCTGGGTTTTGGTTCCCAAACACCCAAGGGACGAACCCTAGAGAGAGAGAGTGACTTGGGAACATTCTTGGAGCTATTTTGGAGGATTTCTTCGCCATTGGAGCTCGGGAATCAAGCTTGGAGATGGAGATTGAAGATCTAGATCAGATTTCTGCAGTCTCTCTCTTCTATATGGAGTAACTTCCCTTCACTTAGGTTTTGAGGAACCCTAGTTCCATGTGTTAGGATCTTTCTTGTATGAAGTTTTGGATGCTATATTGTTTGATTATAATCGATTGAGGCATGATTTATTGAGTCAATTGAATCTTGATCAAATTCTCTTGATTTCTGCTTGAACCTATGATAGATAGAATCTGATTAGGTTAAGAGAGCTTCCTTGATTGATAGTGGTGAATTGGTTGTGCGAGAGTCAACCAATTCACTGCTTTGTATTGGAATTCATTCTAGTAGTGGAGATCTGTGTGAATCGCCTTAGCAGTCTATCCCGGTGAAGGCTAGTCGCCTGCCGGGTATTCTGTCTGAGAGGGCTTGGTCAGTTTAAGAGAGATTCCAAGCTAATTTAGGATCTTCCGCAGTTTAATCAATAGTAGATCAACCTAAGGTAATTGCAACTTGGACCTAATGAGGAGCTAGGGGGAATCATACCTAAGTGAGTTCCCAACTTGTAATTAGTAGAGTAGTTAGTAGAGTAGTTTATAAATCAATCCTTAATCTAGTTTGCTAGATAATGAACTGAAGCTGAGTAATAGTAACTCTAGAGACCCGTGGATTCGATATTTATTACTTGTGCCACTATACTGCAGTCCCTTTCATTGGTTACACTTGGCCATTGTTAGGTGTTGTGTTTTAGCGTACCAAGTTTTTGGCGCCGTTGCCGGGGACTTTCTAGATTATTAGGAAAGGCAGAAGTTTGTTACTTTAGCATTTTTCTTTTCTTTTCCACCCTTGCTTTTCACTAGGGTGTTTTTTTTCTTCTTGTTTTTGTTGGTGCAGATCTGAATCATGGATCCTCATGGCTTCTCCAACCATTGGGGGTATCCACCACCATCCGAGTGGTATTACCCCGAGACTCCCTGCAGCAATCAAGGAGGAGAATACTATGGATTTGGGTTTCAGTACCAACCCCCTTACTACATAGAACAATCAGACCCCTGGGCATATCAAGAACAACCTCATTACCAAGAAGACTTTCTCCCACAACCAGAAGGGCCATCGGAGCTGGAGTTACCCATGGCGGCCTTCACGGGCCATTCTGCAGAGCCATGCTACACTCCACAACCATATCCAAATTATGAGTTGAGGCTTCTCATGGAGCAGTTTGCTCGAGACAGTGAGAGAGCATTATCTAGAATGGATCTTTGTACCCAGGCTTATTGTGAAACAGAGGAGATCCTCCTGAGCCTTAAGAAGAGCGTCGATGATCTTGAGCGATCTTGTGCACAACCTGCTCCAAATCCCCCTTCTGCTACCATACTAGAAGAGGAGGAGGAAGAAGAAGGCTACAAGGACATTGTGGAGCACACTGAAGTTGTCACGGAGAGCTCCCGTGATGATCAGGAATGTCCTGTCGTAGCCGACAACCCCTTCCCACATCCCACACAGAGCTTTGAAGAGGTGGGCATGAGTGAGGAGATGCAAGAAGATCTCATGAAAGAAATTGCTTGGCAACTTGCTCTCCAATCCGTGCTAGAAGAAGAAGAGCGAGAAAGGGTGCAGAAAGAAGTTGTGGAGGATGACGAAAATGAAGCATAAGGAGTTCTTGATCATTTCCCAGGGGTGATACCACATGAAGAAGGAAGGGAGGTTGAAGAAGCACTTGGCGTCCAGGCCGAGGACGAAGTTGAGGTGGAAGAGGCTTGCACCGGCCATGCGTTACATGTGATATCTCCACCAAACTTCGAGGAGCTGCTTGGCAGGGACCCATTATCACCCAGATAGATGAGAAACCCGGAGGTGGACGTTCGATCATCAACATCCTTGGCCTAGTTGGAATCAGAGAACACACGAAGAGCAATAGGAGCAGCTGAGCGACAAATGTGAAGACCAAGGCAACGCATCCCAGCAATACAGCGAAGCAACCTCTTGACATGTTGCCAATGAATGGACGTTGGAGCATGTATATATTGAAACAACTTGTTCACCAACAAAGGCAATGTCCGGTTGAGTAGTGACTATATACTGAAGAGTGCCAAGGACTTGACGGTACAACGTGGCATCGGTTGAAGTCAAACCATCAAAAAGAGTAGGGTTAATACCTTGTTATGGCCTGAACTATGACCATGTAATCAACTTTGGCCAGTGGTTTGAGAAATTAACATCCTGGCCCGAATTATGCAGCATATAGACAAAATTGGCCTGGAGCGTGGTTTGACCGTTTGTTTGGACGGTCAACACCGTTGACCGTTAGTCAACTGTCCAGGTCACCGCCATGTCAGCATAAAAAAATTATAATTTCATTTTTCTTTTTATTTCATTTACAAAATTGAATAATTAAAAAAAAATTTTTGGCCCACCCATCCCCACCTTATCCCCTCACCTTCTTTCCTTTTCGATCAGACCCAAACAAACCCTATCTTCCATCTTCTTCCTCCTTCTTCTTCGACGAGCCGCCGCCTCCATTCTCTCCGACTTCAAATGCAGCGGATCAGGTGATGAGTTACAGTTTGGAGGTGGCGAGAACTGGTGAAAGAAAACCCAGTTTCCCCTTTGAAACCAAAGAACATAACTTTGTGAGGGGAATCGATGGATTCTTTTACCTTGATTTCTCTGAAAGGGATGAGCAAGCTCTTCTCGAGCTTGGAGTCGAGACCCAGCAGCCTAGCTGCTAGCTTGAAGTTTCTGTTGGTTGCTGCTAATGCATTCATGGTTCCCTCTTTTGTTCTGATCAAAACCCAGAGAATACGAGAGATCAAAAGGGAGGTGGAAAGTCGAATGGAGAATGGGATGCGGCGAAGAGTCTGTGTGAATGCTGTATTTATACAGAGCAGGTAAAGAAATCAAAGTCAATTTTGAGCAACCAATTAATCAATTTTGCTTCTTCTTGATTTCTTGTCTTATATATACAGGGGATCAGGTGATGAGTTACAGTTTGGAGGTGGCGAGAATGGAGGCGGCGGCTCGTCCGGGAAGAAGGAAGATAGGGTTTGTTTGGGTTTTTGATTGAAAAGGAAAGAAGGTGAGGGGATAAGGTGGGGATGGGTGGGCCAAATGTTTTTGTTTTTTTTTAATTATTCAGTTTTGTAAATGAAATAAAAAGAAAAATGAAATTATGATTTTTTTATGCTGACATGGCGGTGACCTGGATAGTTGACTAACGGTCAACGGTGTTGACCGTCCAAACAAACGGTCAAACCACGCTCCATGCCAATTTTGTCTATATGCTGCATAGTTCGGGTCAGGATGTTAATTTCTCAAACCACTGGCCAAAGTTGATTACATGGTCATAGTTCAGGCCATAACAAGGTATTAACCCAAAAGAGTAAGTGGGCAATCGAAACAAGAGGAGTGGATGCAGGTTAGCTTCGTGCATACGAAAGCGGATGAGGACGTCAATGGTGTATTTGTGCTGAGACAAATGAAAGCTAGATGATGTTGGAATGACCTTAATGCCAAAAAATAGTGATCATGTCCGAGATGCTTGAGAGAGAACTGAAAAGAGAGTTGGGCTTGGAAGGATCGAAAAAAGGCTGCATCATTACTAGTAACTAGTAAGAAGCAAGTCATCAACATACATAAGGAAATAAGCCAACACACCACCACGAGAGTAGACAAAGAGTGAAGCGTGGGAGCACTAAGAGCATCATAGCAGGCAATAGAAACCATTTTGAAGTTGAGATTTCATATGATGTATTTAGACAATACACTTAATTATGCGAATTCGTCATTTTTTGGGTTAAAATGAAATATAATACATTTATTTGAATAAAAGATGCGGCCACTAGAATTATTCATTATGTATATTGAGAGTCACTCATTTTTTTATTTTAATTATTTGATGGACTATCAAAATTATTCGACCCGTAAACAATGTATTTTTCAAATGAATACATTGCATCAAATTACAATATTTGATTAAATGCATTAATTTGGAGAATTAAACCTCACCGCTAAATAAAAGTAAGAAAACGGCGGGCTCGCTCTGATTCTCCTACTTCGACGACGAAAACCCTAAACCCGTGGTACCCAGCAAAGTAAACCGATATTCCCACCTCCCTCCGCGGCACCACCGGCTGGCTTGTACCACCGCCAACCGCTACTTTGTTGCCGCCAACTCAGTCCCTCCAACTCCAAAGTGCCAACCGAGCTCCCCTTTATGTGAAGCGCTTCTTCTGAGAAACAGGAGAGAAAGAAAAGAGAATGAACAATCTGAAGCTTCATTCTGAGATTTCTCTCCATCTGGAGTTGCAATCGGAACGAGAAAACGTGCTCTTCTCTGCCTTCGATGTAGAGCGCAACCGCTTGTTCTTTGCTTCTTCTGCCAATTCCCTGTACACCACGCAGCTCTCTTCTTTCCAGGTTAGCTCTTCTTCTCTTTGTTCCAACGACTCCTGGGTTCTCTTTTCCCCCCGTAAGTCCTCAAAATTAAGGTTTCCTGCGTTTTTCTCTCACGAAAAACTATTGTGCAGAACGGAACATCGTGGAAGGAGACCATATTGTCTGCAGAAGTTCGTCTCCTTGATTTGGAGAATGGGGATGCCATTACTTCCTTTGATTACCTCATGGAGAAAGAGGCGTTGATTATGGGGACTTCCAATGGTCTTCTGTTGCTGCATATGGTGGATGACAATGCTACAGAAGTTGTTGGTCAAGTGGAGGGTGGTGTCATCTGTATCTCGCCCAGCCCAGATGGAGATCTGCTTACTGTTGTCACTGGTTCAGGGCAGCTGCTGGTGATGACCCTCGATTGGGATGTCTTGTATGAAACTACTCTCGAGGATCCTCCAGTGGATGGTGTTGACGTAAGTAAGGATCTTTCTTCCTTTGTGCTTAAGATTTCCTCGTTGTTTCTTCTAGCTTGCCAATGTTATTGAATTGCATAGATGAGATTGTCCTGTTAGTAACCTGCTATGATTGTCCTGCATTAGCATGGAGTGAGCAAATTATTTGTACAAGCTCATCATTCTTTTCTTTTTTGGGTTTGATGCGTTAATTTGGAAGTTTACTGATTGTGCACGACTTCAGGTGGACCAGCTTTATCTTCTTCCTTTATTTCTAAGAGTTCCATAGCTTGGAGAGGTGATGGGAAGTATTTTGCAACTCTGAGTGAGATTAACGGCACTGCTTCTTCCCTCGGCAAAAAGCTTAAGGTTTGGGAACGGGACTCGGGTTCGTTGCATTCCTCATCAGATGCAAAGTCATTTATGGGAGCAGTTGTGGAATGGATGCCTAGCGGAGCGAAAATTGCTGCGGTATATGACAGGAAAGCTGAGAAAGAATGTCCTGTGATAGTTTTTTACGAAAGGAATGGATTGTATCGTAGCTGTTTTAGTATCAATGGACCTGCAGATGCAACAGTAGAAACTTTGAAGTGGAATGGTGCTTCTGACCTACTTGCTTCTGTTGTTAGATATGATGACGTTGACGCTGTTAAGATTTGGTACTTCAGTAACAATCACTGGTACTTGAAACATGAAGTTCAATTCCCAAGGCAAGATGGTGTGAACTTGATGTGGGATCCTATAAAGCCACTGCAGTTGATCTCTTGGACTCTTGGCGGCCAGGTTACAGTCTACAATTTCACATGGGTTACTTCTATTATGGAAAACTCAACAGCTCTGGTGATTGACAATGCAAAGATACTTGTGACTCCCCTTTCTTTGACCCTCATGCCACCTCCTCTACATTTGTTCTGCCTGAAATTTCCAAGTGCTGTGCAAGATGTTGCTTTCCACTGCAAGGGTTCTAAGAGCGACGTTGCTGCCTTTCTTTCTGATGGCAGTTTGTGTGTAGCGGAACTTCCTGATACTGATTTATGGGAGGAACTTGAGGACAACGAGCTTAGCATTGAATCTTCCGTCTCAGATCTTGCTTTCGGATCTCTTTCACATCTCACATGGTTGAATTCTCATTCACTTCTTGCGGTTTCTCGTCACAGTGTCAGTTCCCATGGTATTCCATGTGAGGAAAAAGTGAGTGGTTCTTATCTGCTGGAAATTGAACTTACGTGTTCTGAGGATCATGTGCCAGGTTTGGTCACAAACTCAGGATGGCATGGAAAGATTTCGTATAAAAGCTATTTGGAAGGACTTGTAATTGCAATCACCTCCAATCCTGCCAATGTTTCTTCTGCATTTGTTCAGTTTGATGGTGGGAAAGTGTTGAACTACAAGTCGAAGTCTGGTTTGGCTACTACTGAATGGATTGCAAACCATGACACCATCAGTTTTCCTTCTTCTTGCCCTGGAATGCGTGCTGCTCTTGTCTGTGATGGTGGGGAACTACAGCCCTTGCTCTTTGGTCTTGATGATATTGGAAGGCTGCATGTCGGCCAAGAAACTTTGTGTAACAACTGCAGTAGTTTCTCATTCTACTCAAATATGGCCGACCAACTGACCACTCATTTGGTCCTTTCAACCAAACAGGATTTCCTATTTATCGTAGGTATTGTTGACATACTCAATGGAGAAATAGAAACGAAATATCAGAACTTCTTCCATGTGGGTGCAAGGAAAAGAGATCAAGAAAATCCCAACTTTATAAATATTTGGGAAAGAGGTGCTAAAGTTGTTGGTGTATTACATGGTGATGAATCTGCTGTCATCGTCCAAACAACTCGTGGGAACCTTGAATGCATTTATCCAAGAAAGCTGGTCCTATCATCAATTGTCAATGCTTTGATCCAAAGACGTTACAGAGATGCACTCCTCATGGTCAGGAGGCATAGAATTGATTTCAATGTCCTTGTTGACTATTGTGGTTGGCAAACATTTCTGCAATCAGCATCAGAGTTTGTCAGACAAGTTGACAACTTGAGCTACATCACTGAGTTTGTATGTGCAGTGAAAAGTGGGAATATCATGGAGACATTGTACCATAATTATGTTTCTTTGCATGGTGTAAAAGAAACCAACGATGCTCAATCCAAAACTGCTGATACTTACGATAACGACAAAGTTTCCTCTATCCTGTCAGCTATAAGGAACGCTCTCGAGGAACACGTCTCTGAAAGTCCTGCAAGGGAACTTTGCATACTGACCACTCTAGCTCGTGCTGATCCACCAGCCCTTGAAATAGCTTTGGAGAGAATAAAAGTTATACGTGAAATGGAATTATTAGGATCAGATGACTCTAGGAAGGTGACATATCCTTCTGCTGAGGAAGCTTTGAAACATCTCCTGTGGTTATCTGATTCTGAGGCTGTTTTCGATGCAGCTTTAGGTCTTTATGACTTAAACCTGGCGGCTATCGTGGCACTGAACTCTCAGAGAGACCCAAAGGAATTTCTTCCTTATCTACAAGAGCTCGAAAGCATGCCCAGTCTTATAATGCGGTACAGTATTGACCTTAGATTGAAAAGACTCGATAATGCACTCAAGCATATTGTCATGGCTGGTGATGCTTACTATACAGATTGTCTAAATCTCTTGAAGAAAAACCCAAACCTTTTTCCTTTAGGGCTTCAATTGATCACTGATCCTACCAGGAAGATGCAGGTCCTTGAGGCCTGGGCTGACCATCTGAGTGATGAGAAGTCCTTTGAGGATGCTGCAACAACTTACCTCTGCTGTTACAGACTGGAGAAAGCTTTGAAGGCGTATCGTGCCTGTGGTAACTCGACAGGTGTACTCACAGTAGCCGGTCTCCTTAAAATGGGAAGGGATGAGCTATTGCAGCTTGCTCATGATCTTTGTGAGGAGCTCCAAGCAATGGGCAAACCAGGGGAAGCAGCCAAGATTGCCTTGGAGTATTGTGGAGATGTTCATGGTGGGGTAAGTTTATATATCAGTGCAAGAGAGTGGGAGGAAGCCATGAGGGTTTCTTTCATGCACATGGAGGAGAAGTTAATCTCAGAAGTGAAAAATGCATCCCTGGAATGTGCAAGCACTCTTATTGGTGAATATGAGGAAGTCTTAGAGAAAGTGGGGAAATACTTGACTCGGTACCTAGCTGTTCGCCAGAGAAGGTTGCTCCTTGCAGCAAAGCTTCAGTCGGAGGAGCGGTCGGTGAATGATGTGGATTATGATACAGCATCAGAAGCTAGTAGTAACTTCAGTGGAATGAGTGCCTACACCACTGGGTATGTGTTCCTTTTTCTAACACTTCATCTATGTTATAGTTTTCCTGCGGCCAGTAATAAAACTATCTTTCCTACGGTTGGTTAAAGTTGCGGTCTCTGTGTCCAACTGACATTCTTGATGGTTTCCTCTTTCTGGCTTCCTTTTACGAGCAGGACGAGAAGAACTTCTGCTGCTTCTGTGAGCTCAAGTACTACTAGCAGGAGAAGGGATGCAAAGCGTCAAAAGAGTAGAGGAAAGATTCGTCCTGGAAGGTTCTTTAACTGTTGCTCCTACCCCTCTACCACATTGTTTCTCAGCAATCTGTTGACTTCATTTATGAGACATTTTCTTGGTATTCCAGCGCTGGAGAGGAGATGGCACTGGTGGAGCATTTGAAGGGCATGTCTCTCTCAGCTGGGGCAGCCCGTGAGCTCAAGTCATTGTTGTGTTGCCTCATGATGCTTGGGAGTGAAGAAATCGCAAGGAAGCTACAACGAGTTGCAGAGAACTTTCAGCTGGCTCAGATGGCAGCAGTCAAACTAGCAGAAGATACAGTGTCTTGTGATTCTATAAACGAACAGGCGCATGCTTTGGAGCGTTATGTAGACAAAAAAAGGGCCGACCCAGAAACTTCACTGGCAATGTCTTGGCGCTCTAAAGTTTTGATTTCTCCTTAGGAAGGTCAGGTCAGGTCAGTCCTCTAATCTCTCCTCCCAAAAGTACATACTAAGTCGTGGCAAGGGTAAACATTCTAGGATTCCGCTCTTACCTAGTTGTAATAACTTGTTTGCTAAGTTTTTTGTTATGTCAATTGATCAGATGTTGCCTACTTTCTTTAGCCGTTGTCGAGTTGATTGGATAGACGAAGCACGAAGATGATGTGGAAAAAAGCAGTGTGCGCAGGAATCGCAATCATATCGAAAAAGTTGGTACTAGGTTGTTTCGTATTAGTTATTTTGTACTAAAATTAAATTATGGTTCAATCGTTTTCTGTCTTTAACATTGTCACTCGATTTGTGATTCAATATTTTCGGTCAGACCGAATTCTCTAAACCATATCTTAAAACTAGCTGCATGTAGCCATGCATGGACTTCTTACAGAGTAATGCCAAAAATGAGGTGCCAAGCTGGAGCACTCGCACGTGGAAACAGGTTCGACATCTGTACCCACTTCCTGCCAACATGGCGCCTCTGCTGTCGCCACGTTTCAGCAGATTCACCATTTATCTCTCTCTTTTGATTCAGCGCGGGCGCGGCACAACACTCTTATTATCCAAAAAACCCAAAATGGGTATTGTCGGGTTCGAAATCCAATCCTCCGCCACCGTTTCTTCAGTATTCTCTTCATACACAATCATGCTCATCAGGAAAGCCATCCCAAAATCTGCTGCCACCGCCACCGCCGCCGCCCCTTCACTTCAACTAGCCGGCAGACGGCTGCCGCTCTGCTGCGAGAAGAAGCCGAATCTCTTTTGTTCCTTTGTAGCCCGCTCGATGGTCAACGGGCAGTATCCTACTCCACCGGAGGTTCCGGGCACAAGCACTCCGCCGGAGATCCCTACAAAGAGGACCGATTACCCGACTCCTCCGATTCAGCCGGAAGTGCCGGGACTTCCAACTGGCCCAGAAATAGAGATAGATCCGGGAAGGGAACTGCCGATGCAGCCACCGGGGATCCCCGAGGTGCCTAACCCTTTTCCTCGGAGGGGACCCGAGATTCCGGTTCCTCCCATGCCTTCCCCGCCGCCGGATGTTCCCTTTCCGAGGCCGCCGCCGCCACGAGTGCCTCCCGATCCGGATATTTTGCCACCGAATATGCCTCCGGAAATTCCGCCCTCGGCTCCCGATCCGGATATTTTACCACCACCTACTCCTCCGGATATTAAGCCGCCGCCTGGACCTTGTGTTTTGTTTTTGATTTCTTAGTTAGTATGAAGGAATCATGGTTGTGAGAAGGCAGATTAATCCTCTGGAGTTGGGTTTTATATGCACTTTTTATGCGTCTTTATGAAATGTACCACAGGCATGTATAGTTTAATTACCAGCAGATAATAATATTGCTGGTTGATGCTACTAGCTAGCTTACCTAGCATCAAGTGTTGTATTCTTCATGAAAAAAAGCATGCAAGTGTTTTACGATTTACGAGCCACCGGTCTCCAAGTGACGTCGGGCCATACCATTTAGCTTTTTTTGTCAATATGCACAACAAAATCTGGGGAGATCGATAATTCGTAAGAACCGATCGAGTTTCTTGGGTTTGGAAAGTGGAAGAGCTTTTGTAAGGATGAGTGGCCTTCAAGATGAAAACTGTCGTAGTTCTAGGTCTAATAGGTAGAGATGTTACAAGGAAGTGATATAAGAACTTCTTTGCATCCCTGTTGAACAATGATTAAGCAAATCTCAGTGAGAACTTTGAAGGGTGTGTATCTATGTAGCACTTAAGTCTTTGAAAACACTAGCAATATAAGGAATCCTAGGCGGAGCTAGGCCATTTTGGCCTTGTCCGGGACAAGGGTAATTTTAAGGATGATACTTTTGGAAAACCACTTTAATATGTACAAAACAAAAATCATGCGGATTCAAATCCAAAGCTTATCTGGGAGAAAAAAAGTTTAGGATGCCGGTGTTACACATACACATATCCTTACCTTCTCTTCTTCTGGTGTAGGCCACGACACCCTTCACAAAATCGAATGCAAAACGTGCCCCAAGCCCACTATCACGGGTTTGGGTAGGCAAGCCAAGCATAACAGCCCATTCTAACCATATAACCAAAACAGAGCCCATCAAAAAACGTAATCACCTGAAGCTAGATAACCGACAATGATGGAATGGAAACAGCCTAGTTATTCTGCTAACTAGAAAATTCGTTAGTATATACTAACTAATATCCAAAATGTATGAACTAATATCCAAGTCTGTTGAGTATCTAGATAGCACAGACTAGTATTCAAAACATCACAAACTAGTATTCAGATAGCAGATACCAACTAATATCCACAACCAACCAATTAGTATTCAATATGGATACTCTTATGTGTTATCTCGATACTCTTATGTGCTGTATGGATACTATTTATGTGCTGTATGGATACTATTCTGTGTTGTTTAGATATTAGTTTGTGAATTTGGGATAATAGTTGATTCATGGTGGATATCAGTTAGCCAACTTTGAATACTAGTTTGTGCTTTCTAGATATTTTAGTACTTGGATACTAATTCATCTATTTTCGATATCAGTTAGTATCTGCTAACAAATTTTCAAGTTAGCAGATTAACTTTTCCCGAATGGAAACGCTTTCATTTCACGCAAATCTCTCCCGCACGGACAAGGTCAGGTGTGCAGCCACAGCCAGCAATGCTTGAGAAAATATCTAAAACATAATGAGCGGTAGAGGCCGCAAAATTTTGCAGAAAGCAAGCAACGTCATCTCGCCACTTTGCTCCACCACAAGAAAACTTCCAAATTCCGAAGCACACAGTACTTGAGTGAGTGAAAGCAGGCGACGATCTCCATCATTTCCTCTCTCTCTTTCCATTCCCCTAGACAGATGAACTGAGTCGAGCCCAGCCGAGTCGTGCAACTCACTCAATCGAGCTCCAGCTCGCAAAAATCTCTGAATTCGCAAGTACAAAAGCACTCACTTGCGCCACTCCATCGTCACTTGCGCGACTCGCTCTCCTCTCCTCTCCTCGCGTGCTAGTTTACTGAAGGAAACTTGATTTCTCAATTGATTGAATGAAAAACGTACATTAACCAGCTGAGATTGCTGGTTTTATACCTAGCTTACAGGGAAGAGAGGAGAGAGAAAAGGAGGGAAAAATTGTTACAGGTCTAACTAACTATCCTAAATTACATATTAGTACCTATACATTTGAACTAATTACAAAACGATCCTTCGTATCCTTAATACCCCCCCCCCCTCAAGCTAAACGTGGATAGCTTTCAGGTTGAGCTTGGAAATCAATTCGACGAAGGTGTGAACAGGAAGAGCTTTCGTGAAAGGGTCGGCCAGCTGCAGGGTAGTGGAGATGTGCTGAACCTTCAATTTCTGCGCCAAAACTTGGTCTCGAGTGAAGTGGCAATCGACTTCAATGTGTTTGGTGCGCTCGTGCTGAACTGGGTTCTGGGTCATCTTCACTGCAGATAGACTGTCGCAATAAATGGTGAAGGGTTGCTGAGGCTGAATCGGGAGCTGACGAAAGAGGGCTGTCATCCATTGGAGTTCTTGAGCTGTATCAGCGAGTGCCCTGTACTCTGCTTCAGCGGAGGATCGTGAGACGGTCTGCTGCTTCTTGGAGCGCCAGCTGATGAGGGAGTTACCTAAGAAGACACAAAACCCAGTTACTGACCTTCGTGTGTCTGGGCAACCGGCCCAGTCAGAATCAGAAAAAGCTGTAAGTCGAATAGATGAATTGCTAGGAAAGAAAAGCCCTTTGGCTGGTGTTGTTTTTAGATAGCGGAGAAGTCGATGTGTGGCTTGCTCATGAACTGTAGTAGGGGAGTCAACAAATTGACTTAATTGATTAACTGTATAGCAAATGTCAGGACGTGTATTGCACAGATATTGAAATCTACCAATTAGTGTTCTGTATGAACTATGATCACTTGAATTGAGTAAAGTTCCATCATTGGCAGAAAGGTGTGTGGCAGGAATGGATGGTGTGGTTGTTGGCTTAGAACCTAGGAAACCTGTGTCTGAAAGGAGGTCAAGAACATACTTCCTTTGACACAGATGTATGCCTGTTTCTGACCTGGATACTTCCATGCCTAGGAAGTATTTCAAAGGTCCTAAGTCTTTAATAGTAAAGGCAACATCCAGTTGGTGCTTAACATGCTTAATCTCTGGCATATCATTGCCTGTGAGTATAATGTCGTCAACATAGACTAGAAGAGCAGTAAAAGAAGCACCATTGTGTTTGGTGAAAAGTGAGTAATCACTATGTGATTTGTGATAGCCTAGGTTTTCTAAAGTGGCAGCAAGTTTTTCAAACCATTGGCGACTGGCTTGTTTTAAACCATAGAGTGACTTTGTGAGTTTGCAGACTTTGTTCTGATCAGCAGGACTCACTTGTAGGCCAGGAGGAAGCTTCATGTAGACCTCCTCATGTAGGTCTCCATGAAGAAAGGCTGTGTTAACATCTAGTTGTTCTAGATGCCAGTTATAAATTGCAGCCAAAGCTAGAAGTATCCTAACTGTTGTCATCTTAACAACAGGAGAAAATGTATCTAAATAATCAACTCCAGGGGTCTGGGTGTAGCCTTTGGCAACCAGCCTAGCTTTATACTTGTCAATAGTGCCATCTTGCTTAAATTTAAGTCGAAAAACCCATTTATTACCAATTATAGGTACATTGGGAGGAGGATCAACTAAGACCCATGTCTTTGTTTTCTCCAAAGAAGCAAACTCTGAATTGACTGCTTGAAGCCATTCTTTGGACTTGGAAGCTTCTTTGTAAGTGGTAGGTTCTCTGATGTGTGTGATTGCAAGAGCAAACCTCCTGTGATTAGGACTAAGAGAACTATAGGATAGTTGTCCTTGAATTGGATAGGTTACTTTAGAAAGTAAACTGGCTTGACTGATAAGGTTACACTTGTAATCCTTAAGTCTGGCAGGCTTGGTTATCTGCCTAGTGGATCTTCTCAAGGGAGGATCAGCAGATGTGGAAGGGATTGGTGGTCCAGAATTGTCTTGAATTGGAATGATTTGGTTGATGACAGGTAAAGAAGTTGGTATGGAAGAACAAGTGTGTGCCCTTGTGAAGTCTAATTCAGCAGTTACTGATGGGAAAACAGGTAAAGAAACTGAGTTGTCCAACTTCTGGTTTTGAGGGCTGAATGGAAAGATAGTTTCATGAAATGAAACATCTCTGGATGTGAGGATATTGTGGGTGATAAGATTGTACAAACGATATCCTTTAGTTCCATGGGGATGACCTAGGTAAATGCATGGATTTGCCCTAGGATCAAGTTTTGTTCTTGTTGCCTGAATTGTGGCAGCATATGTGAGGCAACCAAACACCCTTAAATGACTGAGTGAGGGTGGAGTGCCATGTAGTTTTTCAAAAGGAGTGATATTGCCAATAATGGTGGAAGGAGTTCTGTTTATTAAGTGAACAGCATGCATAGCTGCATAATTCCAGAATTGAGAAGGTAATGAGGCTTGGAAAAGTAATGCTCTTGTCACAGCCAAAATATGCTGGTGTTTCCTTTCAACAATACCATTCTGTTGAGATGCATAGACACATGTGGTTTGATGGATTGTTCCTTTTGAGTTATAGAAATCTGGAATTTGAAATTCCAGACCATTATCTGTTCCGATGACTTTAATTTTAGCCTTAAACTGTGTTTCCACAAAAGCAAAGAAAGAGATGATTATAGGTCGAGCTTCTTACTTGTTTTTCATGGTGAAAATCCAAGTGTGCCTAGTGAAATCATCAACTATAGTGAGGAAGTAAGAATGGCCTTGAAAAGACTTAACTGGAGCATTGCCCCATATATCAACATGAATGATGTCAAAAACATTCTGAGTTGTACTTGTACTAGTAGGAAAAGGTAGCCTCTTCAATTTTGCTTGAGGGCATACAGTACAGTGGGAATCAGAATGGAAAGAAACAGTACTATCTATGTTCTGCATTTGCTTGAGTTTACAGGTTGGTATGTGACCAAGTCTATAGTGCCATACATCAATGGACTTTTGCGAAGAAAAAGCAACTCTGTGTGATGATGGTTGAGTAGTCTGAAGGATTAGATTCTGCTGTAGTTGATTAGTTTGAGATGGACTATGTAGAATGTACAGTCCTTCCAGCAGGCTAGCTGTTCCAATCATTTTCAAACTGGGGTAGGCCTGAATGAAACATAGTGAATAATGAAACCATAAGCAAATAGTAGTACTTCGAACCAATTTGCTTACAGACACTAAATTGAAACTGAATGATGGTACAAGAAGCACATCATACAAAACTAAGTGTTCTGAGTACTGGACAGTGCCAATTGCATCAACAGAAACCTTGCTCCCATTAGGCATATGCACAAAAACGTTGGAAACAAGTTTATAATCAGAAAAGAATCTTGGAGAACAGATTATATGATCTGTAGCACCAGTGTCTAAGATCCATTTATTGTGTAAATGACAGTTGACATTTAAAGCATCTGTAGCACCAGTGTCTAAGATCCATTTATGAGATGCAACAGAATTGGCCCTGCTGATCATGTTGTGATGACCAGAACCTTCACTATCATTTGATGCAGAGTAGTGAGAGGGGTTATTAGTAGGATAAGCATCCTGAAAAGCAGCTGGTGCAGGGAGAGAATGCTGCTGCTGCTGTGATGGAGCAGGAAACTGACCAAAGGAATGGCCATTGGTACCAACATTCTGCTGTTGGGTAAAAGGAGTCATGAAACTGAGCATCTTCTGATACTGCTGTTGGAAACTCTGCCAGTCAGAGTGATTGATCATAACTGCACCATTGGTGGAAGAACCCTGATCAATAGAAACACTGTTGGCTTGGCGAGAAGGCATTTGTTTCTTCTTGGATTGATACCCAGGAGGGTAACCATTCTTCTTGTAACAGACATCTTCTGTGTGACCAGTGTAGCCACAAAAAGTGCATACAGGTTTCTTACTTTGCTTCTTGAACCCCTGACCAGCACCCTGAACACCCAGATGCTGTCCAGCTGCCTTGGTGAAGAACGCCATGCTTTCTGAAGCAGGGTTATGAGCAGGCTGAGGTTTTGGCAATAAACCGTTTTCCCTTTCGTGTTGCACCATCATTGCAAACACCTTATTGATGGGAGGTAAGGGATCAAGTAGCATCACAGTAGAGCGAGGACCATTAAAACTATCATTGAGATTCCTCAAGAAACGAATAACCTTGTCATTCATATGATCCTTACGCAAGGTAGCTAAGACACAATGGCAGGTGATTCCACATTCACAATCAGGGATAAACCTATAGTTGGCTAGTTGATCCCACAAGGCTCTTTGCTTCAAGTAGTACTGAGAAACACTAAGAGTACCTTGTTTCAGATTGAAGATGGCTTCTATAGGTTTAAGAGCGAGACCAAGTTTTGGCGCAGAAATTGAAGGTTCAGCACATCTCCACTACCCTGCAGCTGGCCGACCCTTTCACGAAAGCTCTTCCTGTTCACACCTTCGTCGAATTGATTTCCAAGCTCAACCTGAAAGCTATCCACGTTTAGCTTGAGGGGGGGGGGGGTATTAAGGATACGAAGGATCGTTTTGTAATTAGTTCAAATGTATAGGTACTAATATGTAATTTAGGATAGTTAGTTAGACCTGTAACAACTTTTCCCTCCTTTTCTCTCTCCTCTCTTCCCTGTAAGCTAGGTATAAAACCAGCAATCTCAGCTGGTTAATGTACGTTTTTCATTCAATCAATTGAGAAATCAAGTTTCCTTCAGTAAACTAGCAACCTGAAGCGTTCTCTTCGCCATTGGAGCAGCTGTTGCTGCTGTCCGATGTCGGCACGAGGAACAGCCGGAGCGACAGAGAATCGACGGGATTGTGTGTTAGGGGTTCCAGAGATGAGACTTCCTACTTGGTCATGTGGAAGAGCGCCGTCGAGCGGGAGCGCAAGGCGGCAGAGTTCCAGAAGATTGCTGATACCTTGCCTCAGATTGATGACGGGAGCCGGTGGATTTGGAGAAGAAAAAGCGAGGAGTTCAGCAAGATTCTGGATGTCTCAGACGAGGACAGAGACCGGATTCAGCGAATGCAAGTGATTGATCGCGCCGCCGCTGCAATTGCAGCCGCTCCATCTGTTCTCAAGGGGTTGAAGGAGAAGTCTGCTGCTGATTCCGGGTCCAATGATGGTGCCGATGACTCGGTCCAAAGCCGAGGAGGAGATACGGAAGAACAAGGTAAATGAGATTTGACTACTCCATTCATCTTTGACGTTACAAAATGCATAATGCTTCAGAAGCATAGGGTTTCATATTGCTGCTACTCTGCTACCAAGATCCATAATTTGTAAAATATTGTTAAGTGCGGAAACGTAAAAGACAAGTGTTTACGTGGTATCCCCGATATACGGGACTAGTCCACGGGAGAGAAGAGTCTCTCCGGCTGTAGTTCTTATTACTTCGTTAATTGTTCATGGCCAATGGCCTTACAATATATACCCTGTTACAATCATCTAGGGTTTGCTCCTCACAAGAAGAGGAATGAAGCTTCGGCTGGACAGTAGCATGGGCCGTGTAGTGGGCCGATGCCTGTGATGGACCAGGCTCGTCTAATACTCCCCCGCAAGATGGCGCGTGAAGGTCACGAACGCCCATCTTGGCCAGTAAGAAATGAAAACGATCAACACCAAGTCCTTTAGTGAAAAGGTCAGCCAGCTGAAGAGTGGAGCTAACTTTGAGGGGGGCAACGTCACGAGATTGAACCCTTTCTCGAACAAAGTAGCAATCCATCTCCACATGTTTAGTGCGCTCGTGAAAAACAGGATTGGCTGCGATGTGAAGAGCAGCCTGATTATCGCAATAGAGCGGTGTGGGACCATCCTGGGGGGCACCTAGCTCGCGCAGAAGCCAACGTAACCAAAGCAATTCACTGACAGTGCTGGCCATGGCACGATATTCAGCCTCGGCGGAAGAGCGAGCAACAACCTGCTGCTTCTTGGTGCGCCAGGACACGGGAGCTCCCCCAAGTGTAATATAATAACCTGTTGTTGAGCGACGAGTTGACTGACAGCCTCCCCAATCTGCGTCACAATAAGCGGTAAGCTGCAGATCATTATTAGTAGGGAGAAAGAGACCTTGTCCAGGGGACATCTTCAGATATCTGAGGATACGCTGAGCGGCATCCATATGAGCACGAGTGGGGGCATTCACAAACTGGCTGAGAAGATTTACCCCATATGTAATGTCAGGTCGAGTAACAGTCAAGTACAAGAGACGACCGACCAGACGACGATAAGCAGAAGGATCCTCGGCAGGCTCAGAGTCATCAGGTCGAGTGAGATGATGATTCTGCTCAACAGGAAACAGGCTGGGCCGACAACCAGCGACCCCAGCATCAGCCAAAATGTCCAGAACGTACTTGCGTTGGCTGAGAATCATACCAGCAGAAGAGCGAGCAGCCTCAAGCCCAAGGAAATAACGGATCGGACCAAGATCCTTGATGCTAAAACGAGCATCGAGAAAGGACTTCACGCGGGATATGAAACTGAGATCATTACCGGCGAGAAGGACATCATCAACATAAATGAGAGCAACAAACAAAGGTGCTCCCCCGCTGGTAGATAAATAAAGAGTGGTCTGCATGAGAAGCACGAAACTGAAGTTCACAAAGAGCAGTGGTGAACTTCTGATACCAGTTCCGGGATGCCTATTTAAGACCATAGAGAGACTTATTTAGTCGACAAACACGAGTCTCACCAGGAGCAGCGAAACCTTCGGGAATGCGCATGTAAACCTCCTCGTCCAGGTCCCCATGGAGAAAAGCATTGTTCACATCTAACTGGTGAACATACCATCCTTTACTGACTGCAACAGCAAGGAGACTTCGATCAGTCACCAACTTGGCAACCGGTGCAAACGTGTCGTGAAAATCGACACCCTCAATTTGAGTGTAGCCTTTGGCGACAAGGCGAACTTTATAACGCTCAATAGAACCATCAGGGTGAAACTTTATTTTATACACCCATTTGCAGTCAATGCAACGTTTTCCTGGTGGTAGATCAACGAGACTCCATGTGCCATTTTTCTCAAGGGCACTAATCTCAGTGCGCATGGCGAGACGCCAACGTTCATCAACAACGGCCTGCCGAAAAGTGCGAGGCTCCACCTGGGTTGTTATGGTTGCAACAAAAGCTCCATAGAAAGGAGTGACACGATCATAAGCAACATAAGACGCCATGGGGTAGCGAACATAATTCACCTTGCTACCAGTGTAGTAGTCCACCAGACGTCGGGGCGCCCAGTGGGCTGGGATGGAGCCGAAGGTGCAGCAGGCGAGGGGCTCGTGGGAGGAGAGGGCACAGGCCCGTTAGTCGGCCCAGGTGAAGAGGGGCCCGGCTGAGCGGCGGGGCTAGGCTGGTCATCTTGGGCCGGGCGGGGATGCGCAACGGGGGCCTGAGTAGGCTGGGGAGAACGAGTCTGCTCCTCATCAACTGGTGGGCCTTGGCCCGAGATGGCTCCAAGCCCATTTGTAGGAGAGAGAAGGAGCTCGTCTTCTCCATGCTCAGGGGGCTGATGAAAAACCTGCGAGGGAATCCAGTGAAAATATTTAGAAGTCACTGGGTTAAAAGGAAACATGGATTCGCAAAAAATCACATCCCGACTAGTGATCATTTTGCGGGTCGACAAGTCGTAGGCGCGATAGCCCTTCTGGCTAGCAGCATAGCCGAGGAACACACAAGCGCGACCACGATCGGAGAACTTCCCAAGAGCAGCATGGGTGTCTTTGCAATAAACAAGGCAGCCAAAGACACGAAGATGAGTGTAAGAAGCAGGTTTGCCAAAAATAATCTCGAAAGGGGTCTTATTCTTGGTTGCCGTAGTGGGCAAGCGATTAATCAAGTAGGCAGCAGTCAGGATACACTCGCCCCAGAAACGAATAGGTAGAGACGCCTTGAAACGAAGTGCACGGGCTGTTTCAAGGAGATGACGATGCTTCCTTTCTACAACTCCGTTCTACTGCGGTGTATCAGTACATGAGGTCTGTAAAAGAATACCCTGACGAGCATAAAAGTCACGAAGAGTTCCAGTGGAAAATTCGAGGCCATTGCCTGCCTGTATTCGCTTGACCCTGCGACCAAACTGTGTGAGCACCATGTGATAAAACATCTCAATATAACGACCAACTTCAGATTTAAACCGAAGAAGATACACCCAGACACCGCGACTATAGTCGTCAACGATAGTCAAAAAATAGTGAGCACCACTAAGAGAGGCAGTTTGATAGCCACCCCAAATATCCATGTGAAGTAGTTCAAAACAATCGGTAGTGCGAATAGCATTTATTGGAAATGGGTTCCGAGTCTGTTTGGCACGGAAACAAGAATGACAATTATCACTGATTGTCTTTTGCAAAGGAATAAGAGGACTAAGCTGAGATAACTTCAGGGACGATGGGTGACCAAGCCGGGCGTGCCACAAATCACTCGAAACTCCTGCTGCCTGGGTCACGGCATGAGCTTGAACCTGCCTGCAGCCAAATAAACGCAGATAGTAGAGGCCCTCACGGAGTTCCCCCTTCCCAATCACGCTCTTCGAGTGTAAGTCCTGAATTATGCAGAAATCACCCAGAAAAATTAAAGCCACACGATGGTCCTGACAAAGACGGCTGAAAGACAACAGATTACAACGAAATTCGGGGACATGAAGTACGTGCCCCAAAGTAAAACCAGCAGCAAGATCAACAGAACCAATACGTGTAACCGGGATACTTGCCCCATTGGGAATGCGAACCGGAGGACTATGTCGCTCAGAATCATACGAAGTAAACAGAGATGAATTCATGGCTATATGTTCGTTACACCCAGAGTCAATAAGCCACTCAGGTTCAGAAGAGAACGAATACGTACCAGCCATGTTGCTAACCGGGGCAGTAGAGCCCATGAGATTACCTCCGAAAAATTGCTTTAGCTGCTCTAATTGCTGAACAGTAAAGCCTGCCACTGGACTAGGTTCAGCCTCGGTTTGGGCTGCACGGGGCTCGCGGCTCCTGCCACCATCACGATCCCGATCACGGCGACGAGGCGGCTGATCAGTTCCTTTGTCACGGGAGGGCCATCCAATCAGCTCAAAGCAAGACTCCTTTAGATGGCCATTTTTGCGGCAGTGGGTGCAGTGAAGTTTGCCGCGTTCACCCGAGGATCGATCCCTACCACCTCGGCGTGTGTTGTTGCTGTCTTTGCCGGCTTCTCCTTGTGCCGCGAAGGCTGCGGCTTCCGGAGCAGGGCGCCGATTTTGTGTGAGAGATCGTTGCTGCTCGTCGTTGTAGACGATCCGAAAAGCTTCAGGGAGCGTCTGGGTAGGTGTCATAGAGAGGATCTGGCTTCGTACCGTGGCAAATGTCTCGTCGAGACCCAGAGGAAAATCCAGCAAGCGAAGGCTTTCGTTCTGGTCACGGCATCACACTGCTGCGAATTTCGGAGTCCATGGCTGTGCGAAGCCACCCTTTTACAAGGGCATCACAGCGCACCCATTGGTTGGTCTCAGGAGCACTAGCTGTTGGTCGAGGCAAGCTGCCATCGACGAAACCGATCTTGTGCTTCATAACAAGGGCATCGGTCATCTCCAACACCCATTCACCATAGTTGGAGGGCGTCAAGAGACTGCTGACGTGCAGATGTCCAGTGCTGTCCGATTGATGGATGAACAAAGGACTTAGAGGATCGGGGCTGTAGCCACTCGAAGTGCCGGTCTTGGACGGCGGCGTGGACTCGAGGTAGGAGGAATCATCATCTCCAGCCATGGTCGAACTTCAAAGATCGAGCTTCACAATTCTGATACCATGTAAAATATTGTTAAGTGCGGAAACGTAAAAGACAAGTGTTTACGTGGTATCCCCGATATACGGGACTAGTCCACGGGAGAGAAGAGTCTCTCCGGCTGTAGTTCTTATTACTTCGTTAATTGTTCATGGCCAATGGCCTTACAATATATACCCTGTTACAATCATCTAGGGTTTGCTCCTCACAAGAAGAGGAATGAAGCTTCGGCTGGACAGTAGCATGGGCCGTGTAGTGGGCCGATGCCTGTGATGGACCAGGCTCGTCTAATATAATTAGGTCAACAAGTTCAGCAAGCTTCTCTACTACCTTTGGAATACTTTAGCCTAGGCCTCCCCCTCTCGAAATTGCAAGGGAAAATTTTTAAAGATGAAGTAACTTGATCGAGGCAAAGCAAGAGTAAAGGATAA